TTTTATAAACTTGGTGATCCTCAAATAATTCAATATGATAACGAAAAAGAATTTAGAAATTTTTGTTTGATTGATTTTTGTAAGGGAGGAAACATTGTTTTAGTTCATGGAAGACCGAGACACTTACAAAGCCAAAGTAAAATCAAATAACTTAACCAAACGCTCACATGATATTTGCAAAAACATCTGAATAGTGGTGTGTTCGCTGCCGGTAAAAATTGGACTGCGCTTTAAGATAAGGTGACTTATGAGTACAATGTAGCGATACATTCTGCAACCAATAAGTCTCCATTCAATCTATTTTTTGGTAGAAGTGGGTTCAATACTGTAACGTGTCCTATAGATAGTAGCATTGTTGATTCGGATGATAATCATAGTGATATACAAGTTGAAATTATTGAAGAGAATGATAATAAGGTTATTGATACAATTATAGTTAATCAAAAATATTTAGCACGCATGGACAGAAAATGCTTGCATAATTCTATTAATGACATAAATATAGGAGACATTATTCTGATAAAAAAGATTTTGATACAAATAGTAAAACAAAGAAGTTAAAATTAGACACATTTTATTCTACACTTAGAAAAGTAACTAAATTCTATCAAGTAATCGTATTAAAATTGAAAATAATGGTACTGAAGAAATTGTATCAATAAGCCTAGTGAAAAAAATAAATTCTTTTGATTAATTTTCTATTTTTTTGCTTGTTTACATTCTTAATCCCCGTATTGTTCATAAAAGTGATTTAATATAGATTTGATATGCCAATCACTCTGTATATAACACATAGTTATAGCATCGTATAATTTTAATTTTTTCTTTCAATTTTTTAATTACAAATTTAAAGGTTTTAGAGTAATTTTTTTATTTAAATTTAAAGATGCATTTCAGCTTTTTTTTTCATTTAAACTTTGAAAATAAAAAAATTTAAGATATTATATTTTTTTAAAAACTCTCTTTTCCAATAAATTTTTTTTCTCTTAAATTAATTTTTTCTTTTAATTAACTATGATTTCAATTAATCATATTTAAATGCCAAAATTATACTTAGAAAAAAAAGCAAATATAAGCCGTAAACCAAAAAAAAATTAAAAAAAAGTATATAGTTGCTTTCAGATAAATAATTATACAGATAGGTTAATTTAAAGTAGAACAATGAATATAATTCTAAACACGGTCGTGCTCTGGGTGCATGACACTTGACATAAAATAATCTTGTTTTTATTAATTCAAGCAAAAATTTATTAATGATAAACCGGCCAATTTTTTTCTAAATATAGCCTTATGAGCAAGCATTTCAGATGTTAATAAAAATTTAAACATGTATTTTTCGAAAATAAAAAAAAATAATTAATTAAAATTTACTTCAAAAACCCTTTTCAATCTTTTTATATTTAAACCATATAATTCTACCTTTTTTGCAAATTTTCGTATATTGCGAAAAGTCAGTAATAATTTTTTTTCTACTTTTAAACCAGAACAATTGGCATATATACTTTTATTCATTAAAATTTGACGCATAAAATTTTTTGTCTTTTCGAAGTTAACTTTTAACAGCATTTCATCAATCATAGTCACGATCAATTTTAAATTACTTATAAAATCACAACGATTGTAATATATAAGATTTAAATAATTTCTAAAGTTTAAAATTAATTGTGCAATTTCTTTAAGAAATTCAAGACAGTCGAAAATAAGATTTTTTGTATTAACTGATAAAATAAGAATTTCGGCATCGTTTTTTATAATCTCAATATTCGTATTTTCAAAAGATTCAAACCATTTACAATGATACGCAATTCTTTTTCGAATGTTACGATATTTTAAATCTCTTGTGATGTTATCGTTTATAAGGTATACAAATGAACGTGGTAGTACATTCAAGAAAAACATATCTTTAAGTGCTTGAAACTTTTTTTTGTTTTCAATTAAAGTATTAAAAGGCATAACATGGGAAAAATCTAATGAAAAGCTTTTAGTAGGTATATAATCTGAAATAATATCAGCATTTATTTTTTCTTTTGTACCATTTAGAGTCAAGTCGTTGTTATGTAAAGAATTTTTAAAGTTTACATTACTATATTCGTTAGTAACTACTTCATTATAATTTAGATTACTATACTTGCTAGAAATGTTGTTGTATGTATCTGCATATTTATCAATATCACACTGTGTAAAACAAGAATCAGTAGGATCATAATTGTTTTCGTTACAACAAGTATGTGATTCAAAAACAAACTCTTGCAAAAAATCTTGTTTATCATCATATTTACTAGATTCCCAATTATTATAACTTTCAATTTCTTTATACAATTCAGTTTCAAAAACCAGATTATCATATTTTTTATAATTGGGATCAATGGAATTTTGAGTACAATCTAAAATTAAGTGATCTATTGGAAATATATTTCCTTGCTCAACAGGTATATTCTTTACTTTCTTAGGCGAACTTAAATCAGAAAGCATGTTGATTTGTGTAGAAAAATTATTTTGATTTATCATAGATATCTTT